TGCCCAGCAACACAATGTCAGGCCCATGTTAGTTATTGTAAAAATGTAACATTGACTTGATCAAGTGTGCATTAATGCTTAAAATGGTAGTTAAATTCAGAACAAACCTCGACAATGGTAATTCAGTTCAGAAGAAACCACCTCCAAGAGCATCACGGTCACAGAAATCTTTTTAAAATTCAAATATAATCTTTGACAAAGAAATGTAGAATGATAGATAAAAGGCTTTCTAGTATAAAATTTATTTATAATGATCAAATTATGTGGGGAAAACGAAATCAAATTTTTGACTCAAGAGTTTATTACGCTTAAAGTGACTAATGTTTCATATAAATTGCTGTATTTTTTATTCTATCGGATCCAATTAAGAGTGATATGAAAGTTTTATTTAAAATGTCAATATTCAATGTTAAGGGGGATTTAAACTGTGAGGGACAACTGGGCTAGATTTCAAAAGACTGCATGGAACGCACCCGTGGTCCCAGGTTGGAACAAGCAACTGCACAGGTTATTTTTGGAACAATGGGAACATTTAAACATAGATGGTATTAGACACTATGAAACCTGATGTGGAAAAAGTGGAGTTACAAGCTGAACAAGAAACTTACAGTAAGTCCTTAGTTTGGTTTTAAAATACCTAAGTGTGTATTTATACACAGCAAATATCTCAAGAGATAGAAATACATACACATGAATACACATGTGTACATACACAGAGATAACAGATCATCTGGGAGGCTGGAATATGGTATTATTACTTTTGTTTATCTAGATCTTCTAACTTTTCACAATGTATATGTACTATGTTAAAAAAATTTTTAAATGACATCCATGTTTCTATTACACCAGAAATTAAAACATTCGTGACTGTTTGCTGTGTCTTAAGTTTGTAAAATAAGCACATGTGAAATAATAATTTTGAGGATGGTTTGACTCTTCACTTTTATACACTGTGAATTGTGTAAAATAAATCAACTTTACTTACAAACATATAGTTCTGAATATAAACGTTTATGATAAAATCTGAAATGATGACACTGAAGAACAAAGCAAAAAAAAAGTCCAGATTTATGGATATTTTGAAAGGGCACCTAAATTTACAGAGTTTAGAACAGCAATAGTATGTCCTTACTAGTTAAATCTTATTCTTCAATAAAGAAAAACCTTTAGATAAAAAGAAAACAATGAAAAAAATAAAACATCTGCATTCTTATTATATATTACTACTAAAAGATTTATAGATATTCTTTTCCTGGAAAGTGTCATTCTGCTTATTTCACTGATGAGAAAATCAAGATTAAAAGAACTGTATCCAGAATATATAAGGAAAAGGCTACTTGGCAATCATTCAGCAATATATACATATAACAAACATTATGTTGTGCACCTAAAACACAATAGTATATGTCAATTATATCTCAATTAAAAAAATAAAACCTCCTACAAGTTGATTTTAAATGACAACCCAATAGAAAAATGCCTAGACAAACATTTCACAAGATATGCAAAAGACCAATAAATATGTGACAAGATCTGCATTCTGCATTAAGGGAAATGAAAATTAAAGTCACAGAGATACCTCTATAGGTCCACCAGAATTGCTAAAATTTAATAACAATTCTAAGGATTGGAAGAGAAGACTCCAACAAGACCGTACACTCCTGGATAGAAGGAATCACATCTTTCCCTTCACTTGTGTATCTTCTTCAGCACCTAACATTAAAGGATACTACCTAACACTAATTGTAGTTCCTCTTGATAACGGAAATACAAACATACTCTTTGATCCAACAATTCCATTTCTAGATATTTATCCTACTGAAAAACTCACATAAACATAAAAAATATGATCTAAGACATGCATTGTAGATTGTAACAATAAAACCAAATATCAAGAAAGTCTAATCTATACTGCCTATTAAACAAAACTTGGGATATCTAGACATATAGACAATATCAGAGTAGTAAGTGAAAAAACTGGCTGAAAAGAGCATAAAACGGATCCTACCTTATTTATTTAAAATACAGTTTAGAAAAAGGCAAGTTTTAGAATGATCATCTCTGATAAGTAGGATGGGCTTTCTTACTTTATAACAATTGTTTTGTTTGAGATGAACAAAGAGCACATACAACGTTGGTAGTAAAAAATATGTATATATTTTCATTCGTCGGCCCAAAAAGAGAAATTTACAAATTATAAAATAAATTAATTTTTTTTAAATGAGTAATAATATGGACGTGGTTCCATAGTGTAGCGGTTAACACGTCTGCTTTACAGAAGGTCCTGAGTTTGCGGCCCAGTGGAGCCACGGTCCATGCCACCCTGAACAATGTCTGATCTCAAAAGCTAAGCAGGGTCGGGCTTCGTTAGTACTTGGATGGGAGACCACCTAGGAAGACCAGGTGCTAAAGGCACAAATAACAATAAATAATTAAAAAAAAAATGAGTAATAATATGCTGGGACACATGCATTAATATTTAGAAGATATGCCAACTGTTAATAATGGTTATTTCTACAAGAGGGATTATAGGAAAATTTCACATTCTAAGTTAGACAGTTTTTCTTTATATAAGCACTTTAGTTACAAAAACCAAAGATATACACACACATACACACATAAATTTCTGAGCTAGTGATCATTCCAGAAACATAAGCACTGCGGTCCATCTGGCAATTAATTATTCTGATGAGAACCACCTTAATTGTTGGATTGCCCATGATACTAAATCTGAGAAAGCATTACAGGCAAATCATGCCTACAAATTAACAGAAAAACTTCTTTGCATAAGTATTAAATGTCTATTTGATGAAAAGCCCTCTAATGTAAAGTTAACCTTGAATATTTACTGAATTAATATAAAGGACCAGGCATTGCACTGGTCCCTCATAATATACTGTTCTGTTTTTAAATATCCCTTACATTTCTAGAATCCACCATAAATTTGATGGGGCCTTTGTTTCAAGGCCAATGCTTGAGATGAGACAAGAATGTACATACCAGGAAGAGAGGAAGGAAGGAAGGATGAGAACCTCTAAGTCCCACAGAATTCCCAAAGGGAGCAGTGGAATCTGGGTGGATCTGTGCTTCAAATAGGATATTGCAGCTCATATAGTCCCCCATATGCCCTGCTCCAGGGCAGAGCTCACAAATGTCTGGCTTAATGAGTCAAAGCTTTCTCCAACAAGCCCTTGATATGGAGCAGAACTGCCTGTTTTTCTACAGTCTATTGCTCCAAACTTTTCCATATCAGCCTTGACTCTGAGATCCAACTGCCTTTTTGTTTTCCCCTTAGTCTTACTACTGAATATAATACCTTATTACTACTGACGTTAAGTGTTCTACATGCATTACAACTCATCCGCACTCACAATAACCCTGCCAGGTAGTCCTGTTTTACAGAAGAAACTGAAATACAGTCAGTTCTGGTATCTGCATCCAGGGATTCAACCAACAGTGTATCAAAAATATTTAGGAAAAAAAAAGTTAAGCTGTTGCTGACATGAACTATGTAGTTAGGCCTACAGTGGTTACGTCTGTACTGACCATGTACAGACTTTTTTTCTTGTCATTATTCTCTAAACAATACAGTATAACTATTTACATTGGACCTCCATTGCACTTGTATTACGTATTATATGTAATCTAGAGATGATTTAAAGTGTAAGTGAAGATGTGCATAGGTTATATGCAAATACTCAATCATTTTCTACAAGGGACTTGAGCATCCTCGGATTTCAGTATCTGTGAGGGTCCTGGAACTAATCCGCCCCACATACAGAGGGACAACTGCACAAAGTCCAATATCTACTAAGTGACAAAGCTAGGACTGAAACCTAGAGATCCTGATTCCTCAATCCCATCCCTACTATGCAGCCTTATCTCTTCTTTCAAACTAGAAAACACTACTTAGGTTTTAGGGACAAATCTGAAAGTCAACAAGACACCTGGACCCAATGTTTACTCTTGCAAATGCTGCTGGTCCAGCTACCACTGAATAACTGAGAACTATGAAATTTAAGCTGCAAAATCTTTGTTTGCCAATGCTTTTCTTAACTTTTGAAAAGCTGCTTAAAGTAAAACATCCAACCTCTTAACTAAGCCAAACATATCTGGATTCAGGTTCTAGTTCTGGCACTGTTCTCTTCACCTGGAAATAAGATATACAGGTATGTGCAAGAAGGAGAGGGAGGAGTCAGTGTCCCTTATAGTTATTACTATTATCCTTCAATTGTTTTACCATCATTTCTCCCAGGACGTGGAAAACCTGCCAAGTTCAAATCAAACTCAATACCTTAAACAACAGCCATGAATTCATGTTTATGAAAAACAAATTTAAACATTAAAAAACTAAGCAGTTTGAATATATGAAACTGAAACTAGAATTTCTACCGAACAGAAAAATAGTAACTAGTAAAGAACATATTTAGTATTACGAGATTACCACACAAATCAATTACCACATGAGAATAAATGCTGACAGTCTCAAAAAAACTTTCCTTCTATTTCTATGTTAATTACAGTGATTGGAAACTGTAAGGTAACACAAATTAAGTGAGTGTTCTACCTTTGAAACATTTTATATAACCACTTACTAATCTTTTTCAGGCACTTTGCACAATGGATAGGAAATAACAATTGATCATTACATCTTTGGCGTCTAAAATTCTACCACCTTGTTAGAGATTAGTTCACAGCTGTTAGAGGCCTAAGAACTAACGTTACAAGTAGCCCTTAAATCTTCTACAGGTGGAATGCATACAATGTATCGAGTAATGTATTAGAGAACTGTGTGGCAAGGACTATTTATCCTCGTCTTTTTTTTTCAGATAAGGAAACAGGTGCAACAGTGAGAAATAAGCCTAAGGGCGCAGAACTAGGAAATCAGAGGCCGACTGGAAACTATTCCGGGTCCAGGGTCCAGTCCTTTAAACCTCTTCAGGACTCTGGGCGCAAGGGCCCGTCAATGCGACTGTGAAACGTGGGAAGAAATACAGTACCAGTGGGAAGCAGGGGTTCCAACGGGGTAATGGCATGCTCCATATCGGATTATTGGCCTCGACACTAGAAAAAGTAAAAATGGCACGTTAGAATGAATGTCTGATACAACACGTGAACCTGCCAGAGCATCTGGCCGCTTTAACGCCGCGCCCGGCGCAGACCACGGAGGAGCGGCGGCGCTCGGCGTCCTGGCCCCGGCACCGCTCGCCGCGCGCGCCGCCGCGAGA